AGTTTTCAGGAATGCAGGTGAAAAAAGATAGAATTTCTCTTCTTTCTTTGAGAATCACTGCAGCATTGGAAAATCTTTATTTAATTTATTTAAACGTCATTGAAGGTCATGTGTAATTCAGTTATTAAATATTTACTTTTTGCTTCAAAAAAGATCAAGTACTTTAATTTTTCCCAAAAATTGCCTGTTTTTAGGCTGCAACACTGAGTAATCGCGAACCGAGCGGTGTCCGATGATATCGAGGACAGAACTTGAATCATACGCCTCTAGCTCACAGGATAGGTGTCTCGACGAAGTTTATAATCAAAAAGGAAATTGAAGAAAATGAAGGTTATTTCTCCCAGTGTAACGATGTTGCTAGTAGAAAGCTAAAACGAATATTGTATCAAAATGGCCGTAGCGCACAGGATCGCTGACGTGTCGAATTAGCTGACGAATGGGGTGGATCGCTGTAGGATCGAGAACGTGGTTGCGGCGTGTTATATTGACCTGTGTAGTGATGTATTAATGTGGTGTATAGTGGTGTGATGTATTTGAGTTACGTTAGATGGCTGATCTAAAGAGATCGCACTTGGAGTGATATATGTATGTAGTCCTTTGTGAAGTCATAGAAAAGAAGAATCCTTGCGTTCGAGCTTATAAATTAGCAGAACGCTTAGTAGCCAATACAAATTTTAAAAGGCGTTCAATTTCTACACGCGCCGGAGGTCTGAAGGTATGAGGGGGATTTTATACAAATTTAAACACTCATTGAATTATTCTTCGAAACGAAAAATTAAAAATTCTCCATTCCAAAAAATTACAAAAAAAAATTGCATTTAATTTTAATTGAAAAAATGGAACAGTGCGGTTCCGTTCCTCAGCATGCATACCTCATACTTTTATCGCTCTCTATATTATATACTATGTACGTATTTAACAGAGTGTACCTTGGTGATAATTATATCTAAGCCAAAACTGCACCCCAGAAACCAGTTAAAAATAAATATCACTAACAACTTCACAGCGAGATTAAGAAGAAGTAAGAACATCAACGCCAAAACACAAAGCGCCACAAAATAGCTGAGACGACCTCCAGCCTCCTGGCTTGCCAACTCGCCTGTCATGTCATGTCAAACGAACATGTCGTTTGCTTAGCTACTGTCTTGTGTCTAATCTCATTGCTGTGATGGCGGCTTCACCCACACCCAAAGCGTGGCGCCACCAATGCTGTCCCAACCGCTGAGCCTTGGCGCCAATCATACCTCCGACAACAGATTACCCACACGGCCAGACCAAAAACAAAGTAATATGTGTGTGTTTGTGTTAAGCATAACAAAGTGCTAAAATCATACAAGAAAAACGTTTAGGCGAGGAGCACAAACACTTGGCACTTGACGGCAGCGCGTCTAGAGAATCGTGCAAGAATTTTACGACAATGATTTTTGATGACTTTCCTTTGCCGGCTGCCACTTGTGATATTGGCTCATTGCTTATGTTTTATATTTACATACTTACACACATTATTCTTTTTGTTAAATGTCGCTGGTCAGCAGTTTGTACGCGGGTGTATGTTGTGTATGTGGTATCTATTATAATCATATGCGTCTGCAGTAGTATTTTCTTTTATTTTAATATCTGACTTCCGCTTGATTAAGCACTCTTACTCACTTACTACACGCATAAATACATATTAATGACATTACGCATTCACTCAGCCGCTTGACAACACACACTCATCGATATGAGTTCTATTTATAAATTTACGTGTATGTATGTAAGCTTAAGTATATATACATACATACAATAAAAGTATGTATCATAAGGAAGTCAATCTTTCCCAAACCATTCATTTCATACCAGACCATTTGGGGTGCTCAGCGAAATTTACTAGTTAGAGCTACTCACTACACATTTAACACAGCCTCGTTAATTAAATTTTATAAATTACTACTTTATTTTCAAGATAGTGTTCAAAGAGTCTAAAATCTCAAAACGCAGTTCTTATGGGATTTGTAAGCAAGTCAACGAAAGCACTCGCAAAAATCATTTGAGTATGTTTCATAGTGGAGGCTGTATTTACCGACCGTTGTGCCAAAGATACCTACTTTGCACACCCTGCCGCTAAAGTCGCCAAGCACATTTTTGACATCGTGGCATAGAAAAGATCTTTGGTCACATTGTCCTGCGTATCAGCGATACGTGGAAGACCTTCCCTTTGATGCCATACCAAATTTGCGCTCCTTTTTATCTCCACTGTTGTATTATTCCAAAAGGACCTACTCGTCTGAGTCCTTGTTTCGGCTATCGCACTTCTTAGATGGCGGTGATGTCAGCCTGTTCTCTTACGAGGACATTAAGCAGCTGTGTAGCAGCACCTTCCCAATTAAGGGATCGGACATTCTAAGTGCAATCCTAGGGAGGGATGTTTCGCCTTCATACTTTAGCTCGCTTTAAATTTATATTTTTCGGCCACTCAGAGGATACTTGGTCTCAGACCGGAAGTATTGGGCTGCTCTAGCCAAGAGCTTTCCTCACTTCCGTGCTCTTCTACACATGACTCCATCGTCCACAAATAAAAAAGGGTGCATTCTACAACTTTATTTTGATCGGTCAGTTTGTGTAGCAGCTATTTATATGATATATTGATGCTATCTGAAAAATTGGTTCGGAGATTATAGCATTGAATAATAATCTCTATCAAATTTCATAGAGATCTCTTGACGAGTAAAGAAGCTTTCAATATTTGACTTAATTTTTGATCTTTCGGTTTGTTCGGTAGCTATATCGTATAGTGGTCTAAGCAGTTCCGACCAAAGAATAGCTGCTTCGGAAGACAAAGACGTGTGCAGAATTTCAAATCGATATCACAAAAACTGAGGGAGTTTTTCGCATAGGTAAAAAGGAACTAAAATATAGCTTGATAAGAAAATAGTTGCATACCCTTAGATCGCTTATATAATTTGGTATCTAATTGTTCATTTGTCTTTGCATTGTTACCTTAAATCCTTGATGTTTTTACCTTAAACCGTAAAAAAACTGCCTTGTGCTAAACCACGAAGTCTCAATTGAAGCAATGACATATTCAACCATATTTTTAGAGTTTAGAGTTTTTGAAAATAATAATTATCTACCAAGTATTATAAGTAGTATAAAAAATCCTACAGGTCGATTTGTTGTGATTCGCAAATTTTGACACTGAAATATGGGCGATATACTTTCTCTGTTTCCTAGATATATTCGCAAAGGCAAGGCGGGATGTAAGATGGTCCTTGGCATATTCCCAAATAAAAGTTGGAACGGAGAATGGACCAGTAGTTAGGGCCAAGTACCGTTCTATCAATCACAAGTGGCAAATAGGAAGCGTTACAGCTCTTACTATTTAAGAAATTAAATATTTTATACTGGATAAATACTTTTACAGCTGACAAACCGTAACCGAATCAATACATATTTATTATATTTGTTTATGAATCTTGCATTACAAATATTTACAAATTCTGTGGAACGAAGTGTTTATGGGATTTTTTTTCATTAAAATTGCCTGTCATGACCGGAAGTCTGCTCTAGATATTTCCTGTAGTCTTTTCGTTATGTCAGCCCCATCTAGCGGGCGTATGCCGCCACCAGACAGTGACCAGTTAGTATTCCCCTCATGCTCTGGAATTGCCTGCTGGTGCATTAGAGGCCAGCTCCACGGTTTTCGCGTTAGCAATGACCTCAGCTTGAAATATAACGTAGTGGTCCGGCCACTCAAAAGGTTTCCTTATGCCTAACCATTCGTAGAATGAGTGTTGCGCGTATTTAACACACTTTTACGCCGTCCATTTTTTTAATTTTTCAATGTTTACTTTGAAACTTCTTTCCCAGTTGAATAGTGGGATTATGTAGTCGGTATTTGTCCAACTGCCATAACCCACCTAGCTATGCCCGATGATCCTATATGTAAATTCTTCTGCAGCCTGTAGTCGTTCCGCTGAATTTGATGCGCAGTTTTCAGCGCAGTCGTCTATAGGTGGCAGGTTTAGTTCCAGTTCAAAAACCGCCAATGAAGTTGTTCCTAAAGACCCCGTTATGCACAGCGCACCGAGCCTATTGACCAAATCCGGCCGCTTCCTTAAATTATTTCATCACCAGTAATCAACCGCTTCAGGAATGGATCGAACGATTCAACAACATTTTGAAATTTGTCTAAACTGACGTTGTTGTTGGTGTTAATACTGGTCCCAAGATAAACGAAACGACGACTGTTTGTATGATGATAGGCGAGTTTGCTTCGTTTCCTTATCCAGTCTAGAGAAAGCAGAACTAATTGGAATTGTTCATTTTTTGACATTAAATTTCTGTTAATCAGGAAAGTCATGCCTTTTGGATATTGCATATTAATATTTCTAAAGATTTTTTGAATTTAATTATTTCCAATATTTTTTATAGAAGCCAAGAAACTTTACTTTACAGTGTGCATCAAAATACGTTTAAAAGCCTTTGTCCAACAACATTTATGACCATTCAAAGTGCTTGTCACAATTGTCATGACACGGAACTAGCACAAAATAACAAAGAATATGAAAAAGTTTTTTCCAAGTCATAAATTTGATTATAAAGCACTATCCTCTGCCATCAAGTGTTTTAGAATTTTGATTTTAAATTTTTTACTAGTTTTTTAGCGCTCGTAAATGTCAATCAAATTGACATTTTCTTCGAGTTTCCACCACAGCCAAATTGTTAAAATGTTTTTAATGTAATTTTTAATTGATGTGCGCACTTAAAGTTATGTAAATGCAGTTCGTATGCACTCCTTGTTTGTATGCATATGTATGTTTGTATGTATGTGTATGTTATGCTCCTGTAAGAGTGTAAATAATTACGTTTTTTACATAGCATAGCGTCAGCTTTTTATTGCTTACCAATCATGGTGTCGCATTTGATTATTATTTCCAATACTTTGTGATTACAATTTTAACTCTCCAATAATGACATTTTAAACTCAAATCATTTTTATTTTTACCTACTCATTACAGAGTCATTGCGTGTCGCCAACGTTCGAGAAAGAGCTGCGAGAGCAACTGGATAAGTAAGTTTTTTATTGCTTTACACTTACACAACAATTTCATTAGAATTTTAGTATAATTTTATAACATAAGTAATGTTTTTGAATACTACATATATGAACAAGTACATATGTATATATAAGTATATATATATATACATATATAGAATTTATATATATATATTGATAAGTTAAGCAAAGGTCAAAGAATAATTTTAATTATCTTTATTTCCTTATTATTTTCTTAATATTTTACGCTTAAACATTTGAGATAATCGTAAGAACAACTAAGAATGTAATAGATAGTTATTCAAATGATGGGCAAAAAAGATCTTATACACTTATGCCAACGCTTTTTCCAGTCCTCGAAACCCTTTTTATAAGCATTTTGTCGAATGGCCTTCAGCTTCTTCAGTAAATTTTGTTTTATCTCTTCGGTCGACTGAAAAAAATTCCATTTCGATGATTGTTGATGTGTTTGCATGTCAAACTCATAAACTCATGTCTCTTCGGCTATTGTAATCCTCTCTGTAAATGTGTCATCGGAATTCTCACGTTCAAGCATTTCCAAAGAGATCTGTTTAGGGTACTCTTTTTGAAAATATTCAGCTTTATCGGAAATAGAAACAGAAAATTTTAAACTAATTCTTTGTAAAAATCGCGACGCACTACTGAGGTGTACCGACTTAAGCAGCTGCTGTGAACAAAGTGGTTGACAAATCGCGCTCATATTTGGCATAGTAATTGGGAATAATTACCCGGAGAATTTAAATTATAATTTTCAGGTACTTCCGTATATCCGTATGTCCGTATGCTGGGCTTACTGCATCCATTTTCTTTCTGATTTCGATTTTTTTACTTCAAACTAACAAAACTTTTATTGTCTAATATATTTGATGTTAAGCGATTTCATTGAGTCCTATTCGAAGTACTTAAGACATGCACTCAAATCTTAAGATTGTGTAATAATACGACTGCCTCTATTGCGCAGTTCTGGACTGTCTACGAGGTGTGTTCCTTCAAAGTAATCCCATGAGATATTATACACTTGTGCCAACGGTTTTTCCAATCTTCGAAGCACTTCAAAAAATCGTTTTTTGTTATCTTCTTCAGCTCCTCCTTCGATGCCGTCTTTATCTCATCAAGAGAAGCGTAACGTCGTCCTTTCATGGGCCTCTTCAGTTTAGGGAACAAGAAAAGTCACAGGGGGCCAGATCTGGGGAATACGGTGGCTGCGGCATCATTAGTGTATTGTTTTTGGCCAAAAAGTCGCGCACAAGCAACGATGTGTGAGCAGGGGCGTTATCGTGGTGCAAAAGCCAATTTTTGTCACATCTTCTCGGCCTTCTGAGAACATTTTGTACCACCGATAAACGGTGATTCGGTCCAAGGTAGCTTCTCCGTATGCCACAGTACCAACATAACGCCACAAAAAATTCGAAATTCGAATATACGTAACCTGCGAAAATTCAAAATTCGCGATAGTTTTTGAACACACCTCGTATTAAACAGTGCTCAAAACTGCTAATCAGTAGCGGAAGCGGCCAATTCATAATCAAAATGATTTTAAGTAAACTCATGCCATAAGTACTTCCATTCTGTCAAATCACTTCCTGATCTCCATATTTTAAATATAAAAATTAGATTAGGTTGCAGCTGCCTTGCTATCGATATTTCCTCTAGATGATTACAGCGTAGTTTTGCCAATGTGGGACAAGTGCACAACATATATATTACTCCCTTGTTTCCCTTGTTTCAGCTTGAAATATATTGCAGTGGTCCGCCAACTTAAGCTGTTGCCTTTTACCTAACTCTGGTCAGTATATCTTTGTATATAAAAATTACGTGTCACGCTATTTGTTCGCGATGGACTCCAAAACTGCTGAAACGATTTTATTAAAATTTGGCATACTGTGTCCAGTTCGAACCAACTTAAAAGATAGGATAGTAAAGAGAATTCAGTGAAAGCTATATTAAATGTACGCTCTATTAAGCGGACATCTTCATTAAATTGGTAACCTGACATTGAGAAAGCAGCCTTCAGTTCGTTATTTTTTCGAATGAAATTTATTTGTATGAATAATAGTATAAAAAGTATACCACAGCAACGCGTGGCCGCATCCACTAGTATTTTATAAAGAAAAGTTAATTAGATTCAAATTCAACAGGAGCTCATTTACTATTTTATTCCCAGAAGACGGGTATAAAAAGTTTGCTACAACAACAATAAACACAGAAACTTCAAATTTAATTGCGAATATTTATTATCATTCGAAAGAACTTTCTTTGGCGTTTCTTTTTTGAATGCTTTTTCTTCCAAATGTTGGCCGCGGCTACGTCTCAGATGGCCCATTCTTTGAGTCCAATTTTCGATGACTAATCCGAGTACTAATCAAAGTTCGACTGCAGGGTGCTATTTAACAGTATTACCAAAAATTTCAATTTGAGCTCCAATCGATTTTTCGATTTTCCATGCAATTTGCACTTCACCAAAGCAATACGTATAATTTCATTGCAATCTCAGTGTATTTACGGCGAGAAACCGCAAAAGCTACAAAACGCCAAGCTTCGAACACGCCAAACATAGCTATTACTAGCTCAAACTTTTCGCCAACGAGTTGTAATAAAAAATTTCACCAAATCACACATACATATGTACATGTGTATGTGAATTGTTCATGTGCCGAATGCAAATTTCGCAATTACCAAATTACCCAGCTGACCTATGCCCCATGCGCTCACATCTAATATTCTAGGAAATACTCTCAGCGCCGCAAAATGAAAAGTTCGTGGTGACTTCCGCCCAAGGACTGCATTTGACCTGCTATTTAAGTAAATTCAACACTTAACAACAGCATAAAGTACCCTTAGGGATTGTGGGTTGTCCAAAATTGGATATAACCTACAATATCTACACACGTACATGCACACACACTCGAACCCGAAACTCATAACTACAACATAATTACACGAGAAAATTCATCATACAAGTGCGCATGGTGCGGTTATTTACGGTGCTTTTCCGCATATACTCTAAGTAAGCGGGGTATATACATACATATGTATGTACTCAAGTACTCGCATATGAGTATCTAAGCGTATGTGCCCATTTGAGCACCCACATTTGGGAGCGCAAAATTCGGAAATTGCACTGTTAGTTACCCTGTAAAAAGCCAGCAATGTGCCTATTTGCGCAAATATTTCTAAATACATACTGACACACAGACACACGACAAAAACACTTGCATATATACATTCACATAGATGTATGTAACAATTTCCATGTGATTTTACCGCTCCATCTAATCTCTTTAGGGCAATTTTAAATTGTTGGGCCGCCCAAATAGTGGCATAGTAGCATTTATTACAGTTAAATTTAGTCACACATACACACATACACACATACAGACATACATATGTACATGTATATTTTCGCTAACTTGTAAAGTTATGTCTACAAACTAAATTATCAGCTCCATCTCTTAGTTTCTGTGTAGTTTACTACTGTTATGTGTGGTTTATTACCCACGGCGTATGCCATGTAAATACTTTTTTCGTACATATGTACTGTATACACATATGTATGTTTATACATATGCACATACATATTTTTACAAGTAAGTGCCCAAGGCAATAGGCTCAGTAGCATAACAGGTCAATTGGAAAGTACCCGACCTGCTGCATACATAGATGGCGCTACTAGAATTGATTCCATATGACTTTTAGTTAGCCCTAACCTTTAAAAGTCGCGTGTATAAATTTGACAGCTGTCAGGTCATCAGTTTGTGTATTATACATACATATCATTTTGATTGAAGAAACTTTTCGTATTGTAAAAAATAGTTAAAAAAAATGGCCAAGCCGGGATTGACGGTCAGGAAGGTTTTGCTGTGTGTTTGGTGAGATTGAAAGGGAATCATCCACTATGAGCTGTTCCCATATGGCCAGACACTTAGTTCTACCATATACTTCGAACAACTGGTCCGCTTGAAGCAGGCGATCGACCAGAAGCGTCCAAAATTGGCCAACGGGAAGGGTGTAGTGTAGGATTAGAAGCAACGAGAGCTCGGATGGAAGGTTTTATCGCATCCACCATATAGCCCGGACATAGCGCCAAGTGATTACCACCTGTTCCTGTCCATGGCGAACGTCCTTGTTGGTGTAAAATTAAACTCAGAAGAGGCTTGTGAGAAATTGCTGTCCGAGTTCTTCGCAAATAAGGAGGCGGGCTTCTACGAGGGGGTTTTATGAAATTTCGGAAGGGAGATATTAGACAACCTAATATTAAGGATATGAAATTAATATCAATGCCATTCATGTTCAGCGGTAAACCATCAATATAACAAGGGTGCATAATAGGACTATACTTTATTGAAAATGAGGTAGTTAACCACCATTGGATTCCTTTTTATGGAATTGTTTAAAATCACAGTCCTATTGCAACAAGGCCAGAATAACGCCGATTTAACGTTGCTTTGACGAAACGCAGCCACATTTACTTGTATGCATAATAGTCATGGAAAATTTCTTCAGTAAACAAATTACAATGGAAAGTTTAAAAACTGATTGCAATCTTGCGTTAATTTGGAACACCCTTTATGACTAGTCAACCTACTATTTGAAAATCCTGATATTAGTGTATATAAGGAAGTGTATTCCAGGAAAAATCAGATGGGATTTAAAGTTGCGTTCCGTAGGAAGTAGGCGTGAGGCCCTATGTCAATTGGAGTGGATTTGACTTGTATGGTTAAACTTATTAGCGGACGGGGTCAGAGCCACTTTTTAAAGTTTTCAAACCACAGGTGACCCTCATTAATGCGATTTATTGTATCATAATTTGCGTTTTACTTATAGCACCAAAACTCAAAACAGTTTCTTTCAAATCTCACCGCTGGTGGGGGACACAAAAGATTTGTAGTTAAGTGAGAATTCATGCATTCTAACTTTTATTCGGGTTTTCTGCTCCTTTTATGCAATTCTTAAATCTAATTAAATGTATGTTTGTATGTAATATGGTATCACATAACATGGTGTTGTTCTTAATTGTACAATATATTTGCACAAATTTCTAATGCCTAAATGTAAATGATAATAAATATCGAGGTTCCCTACTTTTTTTACAGAAAAAACACAGAAACTTCAAATTTGATGGAGAATATTTATTATCATTCGAAAGAACATTCTGTGACATTTACTTTATGAAGATTATCTCTTTCAAATGTTGGCCGCGACTACGTCTCAGATGGTCAATACGTTAGGTCCAATTTTCGATAACTCTTTCGAGCATTTTGATTCATGCAATTGACGAAGCACTTTTGCAGCTCTGATTAAAGTATCTCCAGGCGCCGAAAAACGTTGACCTTTTTAGTTTATTTCTTACGAACGGTGCCAAGTCAAAACTATACGGGGGCACACAGGCACACAGGCAACCATTTACTTGAAAGTGTTTCGTGCGCGAACAATTTTTATTCGGTCATTTGGAAAGACCAACAGTCAAACTGAGGTTTACTATCCGGCTCATACGTATAAATGCATGATTAAGCACCTGTCGTAATGTCATAGACGTGTTTCAAAGTACCGCTATCGTTTGTTTTTTCTTTTTTTTTTTTTGTTTTTTTTTTTGTTTTGTACGTTTCTCTCGATCAATCGAAACAAGTCCTAAAAAGAAATTTTTACAGTCAAATGATCATGCCATTTTCAATGTATGCTGGTCCCACTAATGCCTATAGTTTTGCCAATCTCAACTTAGGTCACATTATTATATTTGAATATCAGTTTGCGCATATTATCAATAGTTTCCGCAACAGTAACTTATTTTGAACGACCTTTACGAAATTCGTCTTGGTGTAATCCACGACCTCCATTCAATTTACCATACCATCGATAAACACTCGTTGCACTCTTGCTGAGTTAATTGACTTCGAAAGTTTAAAAATAATATCACAAAAATGTTCACGAATTTTTTCCATTTTCTGTCCGAAATGAATATTTTAAGTTATTGTAAGCAATACACATATCTCTCGCATGTAAAAATTTCCGAGTATATATGTATACAAAAATTTCAAATTTTACGTTTAACTTGTGAGTTGCCAGAGCTAGTTTGCCAAGACACAAAACATAGAAGGCAACCCACGTAGCAGTCACAAGTACATTTGTGTGAAACAAACGTATACACAGATCTCGCTCAGAGAGTACACGCCGGCAATGGGCTTGCGCTCACAGCTGTATACTATAATTTATCTAAGAATTTGCAACGGACGACACTTGATTTGCTAATAATATCACTTTGGAATCGACACGCTCTTATCGCGAATTTTGCACTTGGTGATACATTTTATAACAGTTTCGATTAAAATTTCACCGCAAATGCACATATCTACACACATACATATAGTGGGATGGAAATTGCCGGTTGTTAATCAAAACATATGTTAATCAACAAAAACCAGCGGGGAAACCCAGCGAACAAATATGTTAGAAACAGTGTGAACACTTGGGAAATATTTAGGCTACCAAAATGCGTACCAAAAACTTGTTGTAAAACTACCAAATTTCTTTATCAGCAACACATGTCAAATTTTGTAAAGATATATCATCAAATGAAAAAGTTTACCGTACAGAGACTTGATTTCGATCGTTCCGTTTGTATGGCGGCTAACGACATATATATGCTAATGAGGTCCGATATCGATGGTTCGAACATAAGCAGAATTTCTTGGGGAGAAAAGGACTTGTGTAAAATTTCAGATCGATATCTCAAAAACTGAGCTCAGCTTGCGTATACAGTATACAGTTATATATGTATGTACATATATATTTTTTATAGGATCTCAAACGTATCCTGCGGAATTTTGAAAAAGTCCTGGCAAGCTTAAAGTACACTGTTAAGTGTATAAAAAGTTTTTTATTATTGGACTTTTTCGAATTCCGGCGCCAATTTGTTTATTGGGTTAACGCAACTATCCGCACACTTGGAAAACCCTATACAGATGTATTTCTATATATTTCTATACATTTCTATATATACACATGTATATATTTATACATAATATATCAATTTATGCGCGCTCGGTAATTCTTCGAGTGACATTGTATTAACGGCACCTTTAAATAGAACACTATTTGTAAAAAACTCTCAGTTGTGTACAGTTCGTAAGAGTGAAAGCATCTTCTGAGTTTTAGCAAATCATAAGGTAAGAAAAGCAAATTCCAATCTATAAATTAAATATAAAATTATTTGAATATAAATATTTTTCATGATTTTAGTTCATCATGGATTTTTACTATATCATCGAATCTGCACCCTGCCGCTCTATTCTAATGCTCGCCCAATCATTGGGTGTTGAATTGAATCGCAAATTCTTAAGCTTAAAAAATGGTGAGCACTTGACACCCGAATTCCTGAAGATCAATCCGCAACATACCATTCCCACATTGGTGGACAATGGCCACTCGGTTTGGGAATCACGCGCCATACTCATCTACTTGGCTGAAGCATATGGCAAAGACGACTCGCTATACCCGAAATGCCCCAAAAAGCGGGCTGTTGTCAATCAGCGTCTATTCTTCGACCTCAACTTGTATGGTTGCTTTGGCGATTACTACTATCCCATCGCTAGAGATAAGCAGACGCCGGTGCCAGAGCGCTTGACCAAACTTGAGGGTCAATTAGAATTCTTAAACACATTCTTGGACGGGCAAACCTACGCCGCTAATGATAGTTTGTCGATTGCCGATTTCACTTTGCTTGCCTCTGTTTCGACGTTTGCCGTGTGCGATATTGATTTGAGCAAATACCCAAATATTGTCAGATGGCTTGACAACCTCAACAAAACACTGCCTGGCGCAGACGAAAATCAAAAAGGTTGTGAATTAATGAAGGTATATTTTAAGTAGAGGTTTCAGCGGTCCGATCATGAACTGTGGTGTGAGAATATGGAACGCTTTAAGTTCAGTAATTAACATACATACATAAGTGCATATACAAATGCAGCAGTAATTATTATAATCACAATCAATGTTTGTGTTATCAATTCATTTTATATAAATAAAATATTATTATCTTTTTAGTACAGCAGAATAACATGTAGTGTGTTGATCATTTAATTTAGTTAACGTAAACACTTGTTGTATTTCATTATCATATTTCTAGCAGTGCTATTGAAAATCAAAAAAGTGGGTGTGTAGTAGGTGCATTCACACCCACCATAATCGTTTTTAATCTTTGTTCCAGTGTCATGCCAATTTCTAGGGAGTTCGGAATTTCAGATGGGCGTAATGAACCAATGCCACGCCCAGAAAACGCCATTAAATGAAAACCTAAAAAGCGCAATAACCAAGCAATATTTCATATTACGCCCAAACATTTTGGAGATCAAATATATATTTTGAAAGACCCAGACAGCAAATAGGTTAACTCCACTACATATGACTTGTTTAGGCCAAGTTTCGAAAATTTTTAGCGTAAACAAAAGGTTGGAACTGAAAAGCTTATAGACTGTCGGAAAAATATCAGCGATTATAATAAAAAGCACTATTTTCCCTTGCGGCAGCACCTCCGTCAACTTTTTGCAATTCCCGATGTGTTTCAGCTTCCTATTTCTTTGACTGGAAAAAAGTCTGTTTTTCAATTGGCTAGGTCAATAGATTACATAGATTTACTCGGGTTAAAAACAGCCTATTATTTTACATGCGTGTTTTAGTTCAAACCTTAACTTAGAACTTGGACGAAGAAAAAAAAATAAAAATTGAATTTTTGGCACACATTTATACAAAAAAATAAAAATTTCAGTGAAAATTTCGCGACATTTTTTTTTTTTTTTTGAAATAGTTGTAATCGAAAAAAAATTCTTCGTCCAGCTCTTGAAGCATTGTACCTCAGAGACCTGTGTAAAATTTAAAGTCGATCAGTACAGTAGTTCTCGAGAAATCGTGCCAACCGATTTCAAAAACACAGTTTCGAGAAAAACGTGTTTAAAGACTGCGCACTTAGCCTACCTCGACCGCACAAGTTCTCAAGGCTGTATCTGCGAAACTATTACTCCGATTAACTTGTAAATTTAGGACTATATTTTAGAGGTGTTGTAGAATTTAATAATACAATAAAAAAAATTTAATAAGACAATAAAAAATAAAACATTTTTGGAAACCCGTAAACCCTTATAACCCTTTAAGTTAATTACGTCTTGGATTTATCAAAGTCGGACACCAATAACTACTGGAACCATCTAAATATAAACAGCGAGAAGTTAGTTGCACACCTAATAAGATTCTCTATGACACAGTAGCAGTTTTTGATTCCTCAAGCGTTGGAGAGTAGCTAATCGAACAGACTACACCACATGTTCAATCAAAGCACTTGCGGCGAACCCAAAGCTTTAGTGAACGAATTAGTAACTCCTTTCTTTGATTTTCTAAGGAAAACTATTGTTTTGCTAGCTTTAATTTTTAAAAATTAAACAAAAAAAATCTTGGAATTTTACTGTTTTAGATTAATATCTAATTTAAACAAGTAAGGAAGAGCTAAGTTCGGGTGTCGCCGAACATTTTATACTCTCGCATGAAAAGTGATAATCGAGATTTCAGGCGTGGTTGTGAACCGATTTCACCCATATTTGCTACATGTCATCACGGAGTTAAGAAAATATTATATACCAAATTTCATTGAAATCGGTCGAGTACTTCCTGAGATATGGTTTTTGGTCCATAAGAAAAAAATTACGCCCAACTATGCCCCTCCCTAATGCGATCTTTAGTGCCAAATTTCATTTGGCTTAGTTATGACACTTTATAGGTTTTCGGTTTCCGCCATTTTGGGCGTGGCACAAAAGTTCTTCGAACTTAACCTTCTTATGGAGCCAAGAAATAGGTGTACCAAGTTTCATCAT